TGAATTTTATAAATTCGAATAAAATAAAGCTAGCGATTCGTAAGACTGGTTAATAATATATCCCCCGATGCTCTTCGATTTTTTTTTATTTCAAGGTGAGAAATGGATACTAGTAGTTGAAGTTCCATCGAATGCAAGGCGACTATTTAACCGCGACAACTCTACGCTCTGTTGTAGTTTCGCGAGGTAAAACAAAAATACAATAAATAGTACTTGTTTAATTATTTGGTTGTACAGCCCGCAAATTACGGGACATGATCCCCATGAATTGCGATAAATAAATGCTGATTGTGTTGAATGACGGACGTCGGGACCATTTGGAGAAACAAATTACGGTCGGTAGACATTTCAAACAAATGAAATTATTAACGAAAGACGAGATTTTTCTAGGTATTTACGATCATACCAAATATATACAAAATTGACAAATACACAAAGAGGTGTAATAGTAGGTCATTTTTATTTTAGCCTTAGAAATATTTTCTGTCACTCAGTCCACGTCCATGCGTGGGAATTCTATTTAGCTTCATGGTCCTTCGGCTTGTCTTCTGCTTGGGGGGAAACAACAATAATTATACAAATCGTAAACTCAACACAATCAGGAAAAGAAACCCAGACAACCATGTTGTACTTCTGTTGAATACATTTTGTAGCAGTGCGTCACGTCGGAATATTGTCTAAAATAAAATATTCAATCCCAGCCAAATCTAGGTCAAAGGGTCAGATTGCGTGCATATAATTATAGATAGTTAAAACAAAAAGTATTTGAACTTTTGACGGTTGTTCAACATCTATGCACGGTTACTAAACTAGTAACCGTGATCTATGAAAACCAGAAAATTTTTAGGAGTCCGAATTTTTGCACGGTCGAAAATAAAACGGAAATTGACCGGTCAAAAGGTTTGGGGGAAATGAGTACAGTACTTCTTTGTTTGATGAAGCGATGCTGATGCCACATTGTCGCCATAATGAGGCCACAATGAAGCGAAGCGATAATCGCCTAACTTTTTAATGTGGCGACATTGAAGCGATGCTGAAGCCATAACAATGCCATAATGATGCGATGCTGAAGCGAAGGTGAAGCTGAAGTGAAGCCAAAGCTTCCGCGAGAACTGTACTGTAGGTACTACATGTGGACCTCTCTCAGATTTGTTCATTTTGTAATGATATCTTTAATTCTCTAATTTTGGTGAATATTTTTAACATTTTTGGTAAAAAGTGATATTTTCGACTTCTTGTTAAAAACCAATAGTTCAATTGCTTTGATATTACATATTTAGATACTACATGTAGACCTTTCTCAGATTTGTTCATTTCGTGATGATATCTTCGATTCTATAATTTTGGTGAATATTTTTGTCATTTTTCGTAAAAAGTGATATTTTCGACTTCTTGTAAAAAACCAATAGTCTGATTGCTTTGATATTACATATATAGGTACTACATGTGGACCTCTCTCAGATTTGTTCATTTTGTGATGGTATCTTCAATTCTCTAATTTTGGTGAATATTTTTGTAATTTTTGGTAAAAAGTGATATTTTCGACTTCTTGTTAAAAACCAAAAGTTCAATTGCTTTGATATTACATATATAGATACTACATGTAGACCTTTCTTAGATTTGTTCATTTCGTGATGATATCTTCAATTCTCTAATTTTGGTGAATATTTTGGTCATTTTTGGTAGAAAGTGATATTTTTGACTTCTTGTTAAAAACTGTAAGTCCGATTGCTTTGATACTATACATATTGTTCATTTTTGACTCCCATGTGCGAAGCACAAAATGGGAGTCTTTGCAGTTAGTGTGTCTGTATGTGTGTATGTGTGTATGTGTGTATGTGTGTATGTGTGTGTGTATGTGTGTATGTGTGTCCGACTGTTCCACTGCTATCTCAAGAACCATATATCGGTTTTTGATGAAACTTGGTGCATAGATGCTCTGGGCCAATGCGCAGATTTGATTAGGTTTTGGTAAAAATCCATGCTCGTTAATTACCTAATTTGCATGATAATTAGCTAATTTTTAGCCTGTTCTATGACTGTTCCACTGATATCTAAAGAACCACTCATTGGATTTTGATGAAACTTGGTACAT